CGATTGAATTCGTTAACAAAATCTAGCAATTACTAGCAATATATTAAAACGTTTTTAAGTATTGCATGAGAATTTTTCCAAAATACATCATAATTTTGTTTTTTATTGAAATTAACGCTTTAATTTTAATCCTATATTTCAGCATCACAATTGTTTTTATGATTATGTTATAAATTACGTCATAATGACGTGTATATTTAGCAGTTGAGTATTACGATTTTCAATGTACACAAATTTACTACATACAGAAGAACAGAAGCACACGCTAGGTCAGACCAGTTCAAGTCTGAATGAATCGGATGAATGCCTATGGTTGTGAGATCGAAATATGTTTCCAACATTCGGATAAACATTCTTTGCTAATCCAAGTCCAAACAACACATCGTATTAAACATGCAGCATGGACAAAAAAAGGTATTTCTCAAAATTGTTGTTCGATACCTCCACAGTGTAGACTAAATCGAACTATGATTTGTCATAATCTTTATACTGCGTCTTATCTGACACACAACAGTATTCGTTGGATAAAAATCAAAAACACGTAATACGCATGTGCAGTGATTTTTATTGTACGTACCAAAACAGCCAGTGCACGTGCGTATTAGAATAGACATAAGCTACATGAATAGTGGTTTAGTTCATGATAAATCACAGTCCAATGTATTTATCTAAATACATTATCAAACAATAATTTGAAAAAATAAACTTTCTCGTCAAAATTGCATCTTTAAAGTAAAAACTGTCATGCTGAAGATACATGTCGAGAAGGCCTGAATCACATGTCAGTTTCAAAACACATTTTATATCAATACTTGTTGAAATTTTGATTCATCAATATTAATATTTGTACCCATTTTTTAGACCAGATAGATGAAAAGGAATGGCAGTACATTCAGCGAATTCAAGATAACTAAACGATGGTTGGAAACAATATGTACGCATGTCGCTATTACCTATGGCCATGGTTAAAGATGTTGGTCATATACGGCTTGACACACTTGTTAAATGTTACAAATATATTACCCGAATGAACTTAATTTCAATTATTCAATGGATTATGTGCGTGTAGGATACTTTCGCGTACACACTATGCATCAACCGACAACCACACATGAAGTGGTTATTCTCTTTTTCTGTTGTACCTAATTCGAGCATATTAGTTCCAATAAGGCATATACTAGTAATACGCGCATATCCATGGGACGGTGATACATGAGACTAATTACATTGGCATAGTTAATGGAATCTGTCAGAAGGTCGCGATGAAAGGGAAGGCTAACTAAATTTGGACATCGTGGAATGTCAAGTCTTTATATACTACATCAAATTGGAGTACAAATCAATTATTGTGATGAAGCTTCTGTGTCCAATTACTGTCGGAAATGTGGTGTAATGTGTTCTCAGTTATGTTCACGTATCGTAATTGTATAACACACACACACATACTTGTACTGTGTAATCGCGAACTATTTTTTAATGTATTTGCCCTTTCTCATTTTGAGATAATTTGAGTACATTTAGCAAATCAACCCGATCTTAGACAATTTATATTCAACTCATTATGGGCATTGTAATGTTAATTTTGGATTGATTCAATTATTCCTTTTTTCCGCTCTCACTCTAAGAGTTCATATGCATGGATGAATGCGGCAGTCAATCTAGGGGGCTGCCCACACGTTCCCAACTATACAGTGTTTGAATTCTGCATCGATCATTTCCGTGTCCCAGCAACACTAACAGTTTGTAATAATAATTATTCATGTCGATGTCGGCGAACTTACTTCAATAATTTCATTTCCAGACAGACATGTTGAGAAACAAGCCAACTAAGACTGTTTGTCTTCGTTATTAGCGTCGACTAATCGTTCAGGTACATTGTGAAATGGGTGCCACCAAACTGATGTGTCGTCTGTAGTGATGCAACCTGTATACTACACGTCATATTAAAGCGGTAGGGTCGTCACCTGCGCATGCGCGGGAATTGAGTCCCAAGCGACGAAAACAACACACTAAGTAACGCAAAGGCCCATTGGTAGACGCTTGTTTGAAAACAATGACACGCTATGGCCACCTGACGCATGCGTATGTGACGATTCTGCCGCTTTAACTAATATAAAGTATAAAAGTATAAACACAGTCCCTCTATGTATACATAATACATACATAATCCACATATAATTATACAATATAATCCTCGGTAGATGTGAAATTCAATATAATGTTGTTAGTTGCTGTAAACACAGACTGATACGTTAATCTTTTTTCTTGTTTGTAAAACGACTCATCTATGTTCGTTTTTATCTACTGTGCAACTAAATTGAATCACCATAACAACACATACCCTGCTATTCGTGATCGATCGTTTTATCTAAACTACTTAACTTACTCCATTTATCAAAACTTGTGGTTATTGAAAAATACGCAAATTCCTGTAATATACATGTAAAAATTTGGAATTCGACTCTCTTGGAAATTGGAAAGAAACTGGTGTATAATTGCAACATATGTATCGGATACTGTTACTATTTCTCCCACTGAATAACGTCTTACTTACTTACTAAAAATCGAATCTAACATTTCTTGACTCAAATAATATTCTTCTTTAAAAATGGATGTCATTTCGAATGACGTATCGTTATTCAATATTCACTGGGAGTGTTGTGTATCGTGTGCGCCTGTCCTTAGTACTAGTATGCTTCTCAGCTGTCACGTGACGGTAACTGGTAAACAATGGAATCGTCAACACACTGTAATATATGCCTATGAGAAGGCTTACTTAAACGATAATGAATTCTGATTTACCGATTTTCGTTAAAGTTGAATTACAATAACAATCGGATTCCAATAATTTTTCGAAATAAGTGATGTTCGTTGTCACTTACTCTTTTAATCATTATTTAAAAAATAATGTTCGAAATAATATACAAATGGATATAATATATACACACAAAGGAAACGACTCATCGCCTTTTAATCAACTCTAATAATTTATCATTCAATATTGGGTATACATACAGGAAGACGTAGGTACATTTTTGCGACATAATCCAGCTCATATATTAGCAAGCAGCCATATTAAGCTTATAGTTTTATTTGTCATTTGTAGACCAAGAATAGGATTATTTTTCCCTGACGTGCCACATAAACACGTTGAATAACACCGATGCCAGATGAGCATAATTGGTTGTATTCCAGTTAATCTTCTAAATATATCAGCTATATTAGAGTGGTGCTCCTATTCACAACGATGCATTATGTTTTATAAAGGCTGGATTAGACTTACAGATTGCAGTCTGCTTGCGCCAATTGTGGCAGCGATGGGCATAAATGAAATTACGACCTCAATGCAAAACAACACAATTCCTGAGATTTAATATAAAGATTTTGCATTATTTTCAATTTTCCATATAAAGATCTCTCTACTTATCACATGTATGTCATGTGGTGTAATTATAGACCTAATCAAACGCGATTGTTATCACGTGGTACGTGATAACATCGTTTGCATTATTGGCCTAAATTTATCTTAAATACCATCGACAAATAATTGCTGATATTCAACAAATTGCGCATCACTGGTGACATCGAGCGAGAAGGTATTACACACTTCAGGAACAAATCTGCATGTTATAAAATAATTACATTATAAAGCATTTTCTGTTACTTTGATGCGAATGTTTGAAATGAAATTCGACACATTACGCGTTGAATCAACCGGAAATTGCGTGCCTATATGATTCACTTTTGTCGTACTCTATTACACTTGTCATCAGTCGCCGTTGTCATACACGACGGTAAAGGACAGGCTTGTATTCGGAAATCCGTTTAAACAAGAATTTAACACGACAGTCTCAAATACTGTTGTTCTAACGCAGTTATTTCGCTTGGAATCTCGTTGACTTTAATGCCATGGCAACAGTGTCATAGGTCGAACTATTCAGATTGCTGTTATTGGTTGTTTGAACGCTCGGCCGTGACGTCACACAGTTGCAGTTGGCGCACTACAACCACGGCCACGATATGTTATAACTTACAAACTTGCGTCCGAGCTTGAGTCATTTATATTCAGTATATGTCCGAGCACATCTCTCATTGCTACTCGATACAAATAACGATATTGCGAAATAGTTGAATTGGGAACACCGTATGAGGATAAGATTAATCGATATCATCGCTTCAACTTTTGTGTGCCTTCGAACTCCTAGGTAAGCCTTATCCGTGGTACATTGATATGCGGGATATGTGCCTAAACACAGGGAATGTGACGTAATGTGTGACGTAATGTAAAACCGAAAATTATTTAACCGAGGGATATTGAAGGAAACTGCAACATCAACTGATGAAATAAGGCGCTGTGTCTTATATCGAGATCTACGGATTCTTGATTCAATTTGGCTCTGACACGTATCTTGGAGAATTTGTTATAATTGCGATCACTATCACGTAGACTAAAAGTTGAAGGAGAATTGCCGCGTACATCTTCAGTGTGCTAGGTACGTCTACGTTGTTTGTAATTGTCCGAAAACGGCGAGCTTGTAGACTAATCGTCTCTAAATCGCGAAATGGACGGTCAGCATGTTACATTACGTTTGCGTGTGTGTGTGTGTGTGTATGTCGGTAATGTACTAACCTGAACCGGATCAAGCCACTATCGCGTAGTCTTCCAACGTATGTGATGTTACGTTCAACGTGACGCTGCCGACAAGGTGTGTTTTGTTTATCAGCACATTGCGAGAATGCAAACACGTTCTCTGTAATGCTGTTTAATAAATCAAAGTCGGCGTGTTTCCACTTGGGAACCTCAGCTGGACAGGATACGCTTTTAACGGTGATTAGACCTGAATACTGGCTCACCAAATGATTTCATTAAATCCGGTATGAGGTTGACTGTTCAATAAACACACATTTCTCGGTGAAACCAACGCAAAGATTCTGCCAGCAACGACTAGTGAAACGTAACAACTCCAAAATAATTGTTGTGACGTTGACTGAAGAGCGTGATGGAAAACCAAACATTTTACGAAGATAATGGCGATACACGAAATATTCTTGAACCGTTGGTTGCATTGATCTTGATATTTTTAACGGTTTTAGGGAACATTGTTAATATTATAGTAATCACCAAATCGAAGGATATTCCCCAAATACCAAGATATTTCATGATGTCACTGGCGTTCGCCGATTTAGGCGTCGGTATTAATACCATATTTGCAGTGTACCCAGCAATATTCGCTCGCTGGCCGTACGGGGACGTATTCTGCTTCATCGTTGGAGTACACTCGCATATCTTCTGTTCAATTTCCATTACGTCACTGCTTCTCGTAAGTATTGAAAGATACATCTCAATAAACTGGCCACTGCATTACCATAATTACATCACGGATAAGCGTGCAATTATCGTGATTATTTCCATGTGGGTGATATTGGAAAGCTATGGATTCCTGTTAGCACTGATTCAGGATTTTAATTTCTATTGGTTTAATCCTGGCGTTCTTACATGTGTACCTGGATACGGGAAACCGGAATATAGGATCTTCACCGTGGTTGGCCTGGTAGGCTTCCTCGTCATTCCCACCATCATCATCGTTTATATCTATATTCGTATCATGAAAATTTCACAGAGGCACTCGCGGCAGATCGTCGAAGTGAATACAGCAAAATCAGGAGATTCATCACACACACGCAAACAAACAAGTCAGAATCTCAAAGCGGCTAAGATGTTGTTCGTTGTCTCGGGGGCGTTTGATATTGCGTGGTACCCGTATGGTTTAACTGTTATCTACACAGCGGCTTCTGGCGATGTGCTCCCTCTCTATGTGGACTTTGTAACCACATGGCTTGTCTACTCAAATAGCTTCTGGAACGTTCTTATCTACAGCATTATGAATAAGAAATTTAGAAGAACCGCGCTGCAATTCTTGCGACAGGCATTTCACTGTGAGAAAACGACAAATAACGTCGTCCATGTTGTGCCAAAAGACACGGACCACAGTGCATCAACTATGTAAGACTACACTCTACGCAACATCTTCTACAAACAAACAAACAAATGTCTTCCTCCTTACAATTTCGGATTACCTTTATTAATGCTATATACACTATATGTCTCAAAACTTGGTGGAAACCCGACTTTTGTATGAAACACGCAAAACTCGGCTCAGTCTCGAATCATTTTAGAGACGTATTATCATATGAAACGGATATCGCGTATCCGTTTAACAGTCACTTACTACGCATAATTTCGCTTCAAACTTTCAAGTTCATTCATAACTTATAATTCTGTTCCCAAATATTTTGACGTCTATTGGTAATGAATCTCTTTTGTCTGTGTGCCTCGTCTGTAAACATGTTATTTGTCTCACTGTAAGAAGAATAAGCAGTCAATTATGATACTAGAACAAAACAGTGCTTTCTAGCAACATGTAGTTATTATGACCATGAATAATTCATTTAACCAGAAAAATGTTCTCAAATAATCAAAACAGCTGAATTAGACCAAAAACTAACAAAATATTGAACCCGACTAAATATCTACATATATCAGCGATAATATGATCTCTCTCAGTCTTGGGTCGCTCAAGCATATTATCACCCCCGTTGTTGAGATCACTCAGGGATAATATTATCTCCCTCGTCCTTGGGACCATTCGGGGAGAATATTATCTCCCTCTCTTGTTGGGACCACTCAGATAATATCTACTTTATCCATGGAGAAAGTACAGTGAAATATTAAGTTGATTAAATATTTTATCTTTCTTTTATTTTAAAATCATATATAATGCATCAAAAAACCATACAAAACGTCCACAACTGTCTTCTCACTGAAAATTAATCTACAATATTCTTTAGACACTATCAGCGAATAAATCTTCACTAATGTCATCAAACTCTTACTCATCATTACTCTTCTCCTCTTCATCACTAATATCATCTCCCTTTTCATTTGCAATATTTTTATCACCATCATTATCTTATTCTATCTCGTCCCATCATTCCTGCTTGTTTTTAATGAGATGTTGACAGCTTTGTAAATTTGGAATTTCTGTCAGCTGTTTTAGTTGGTTGTACCGAAATGCCTAGCTGTTTACTTATAATGCGGGATATACTAGTAATTTGTTACCATAAAATTACGTTTGAAATGTGAGCAAGTGTAATTACTTGGTTATTCATTTCACTCGCTGGAAGCTCAACAAATACACAAACCACTTTAATGGATGTCTGACTGATTGACCCAAGGAATTGGTATGCAATGTTTTCGGGTTACATATTATATTTTATGCACTTTCCTATACAAATTGTTTCACTATATTTTACCATTATTACGAAAGGATTATTTTTTGCCTGCGACGAAGGAACGTGTCCACATTTACACAAATAAAAATAAACTATTCCAATCTGTTTAATAAAATATGGTGAAGGTTATTAATAAGATACTACGTTAAAGAAAAAAACTTATTCATTCAAAGATGGTTTTAATTATTTTAAGAACCTGTTTCGTTATTCTAAGGTACAAGACTATACTCTGCTATAATTTCAGTTATAAACAATGTGCTTCCAAATATACAAGTACACTCTGCCCAGAGGCATAATGTAGAAGACGGGTGAACTCAATTGTCATGGGATTTGTATCATGCATTCATCGTTACTTCAATCCCAAACTCTCCACGGGTTTACAAAAACGCGATTGTTGTCTTCACATTCTATTCCATGTTTTTATGTTTCATTATGTGTTGTCATTATATATTTATACTTCGTTCACCACGACTACATTCTTCTATCTTGTAGAGTACATTCTTTCTTAAAACGGGAAGGTCGTCACCTGCGACGATAACAACACACACTAAAAACGCAAAGGCTCATTGGTAGACACTTGTTTGTAAACATTGACACGCAATGGCCACCTGACGCATGTGACGACTCCCCCCGCTTTATTGTGCAACAGGATCGTATCTGAAACATTAGCTTAAGGTAGAAGCCTACTAATAAATTAAAATGCCCAGAATTTATTCATTTTGCAATAAACTGTACTCCAAGGCAATGTAAGGATATTGACATAAAAAAGTTGTGGGTCACCAGCCTTTTTTTCGAGAAATTGATGGTTGTATTTTAGTGGAAAGTCGCCATTTTGACAATATTATAACGCTTTTACCACAGGTTCCTATGGCAGAGTTATTATGCAATATCTCAAAATCTAGTCTGGTGACATAGGCTAAACAAAATCATATATTGTTAATGATGGAGTACTTTTTGTTGTTTTGAATTATTCACAAAATCTGGGTTTTAAAAAGTATCCAAAAACTGCAATTGTGTTCTATGGAATTGTTCTAAAAATAGCAATTTTCAAGAAATACACAGTTCTCAAAAACCT